CTGTCTAAGTGCATACTGTTGGGCCGAGAAAATTCTATGCATTTATGCGGGTTATGCATTTATACGTTCATGACATCGTTGCACAAATTTTTGTAAAATTTTTTTTTTTAATAAAATTAGTCAATACTAACATTTATTTATTTATTTATTGAATATAATTTGTTCATTTAATTCATCTGAATAATAAGTTAGCTATATGAATTATCTGTATCTGTTTTCGTTTTCAAAAGACTTGGTTGTTTTCTATAACAGCGGATCTTGAATATCCCTTGTATAACTTAAATTTCACTTTATTGATGCACGTGATTATGCTTGTGTACGTCTATGTATGTCTATTGAGTCTAGGATTTTTTAATGCCTATACACGTTATGCGTATGCTTATAACACATATGGCCCAACTTGGGCCAACAAAATTATACGCATTAAGACAGGTTATGCATATATACAGTATGTATTTAGACAGGTTCGACTGTGTATCTATCTTATACTAATTTATTTTAATAATCATGATAATATTAGTAATAATAACAGTATCAGTAATCATAATGTAATTATTATTTTTATTTTACTGTATATATAAAAATAGGAATATCGATTCCTTTACCATTATAGACAATATTAATAATGTAATATTAGTAGTGTATTAAAACAATTATTTATTATTTATTAAATTTTAAAATCTTGCCAACTAGAAAAAAAAAATAAAACTAGAAAAAAAAATCTCGGTGACCGGCATATTCGCATACTGTTAGTATTATAATTAGTATTAGTGGAATGCAATGTCGATCGTTTCACATAACGTATTCTCTTTAAATGAATATATAATACATATATATAAGCTGAGACTGCATAAAATTGTGCCAAAGTTGATTATTCTAGAAAAATGATTACAAATTTGGTTAGTAACTCCGCTTTTTATTTCACCATTTTGGCGTTTGGTGAAAAACTAATAAATATATTTTCTATAATCGTGACAAAGCTTATATTAATCAAAAAATTCACCAAATGGTCCGGTCCATGCTCAAAAATATAGTACCCAATCCAAAAAATATTATTGTTTTCCTATTTAACGCAAATGCCGTCATTATAAAGTATTAACGATTGTAACAATCAAAATTTCATCAGTTTTTTTCTGAAAACTAGCTTTATTTGTCAAATAGATTGTTGTATGTTTCATTATAATGTTTCATTTTTTTTCACACGTAAAATAAGAAAATCCGCTTACGAAGAAAACCGATATAAATATGGACGTTGAATCATTAAATGACAAAATCAAAAAATCGAAAATCAGAAAAAATCAAAATCAAAATCAAAATCAAAAAATCAGAAAAATCAAAAACCACAACTAAAAAATCAATCAAAAAAAATAGCAAGTATCAGACGAAAATGAGCCGTTCAATTCATCTTTTTATCTTTGGCTTCTTGTGCCTCTTGGTCTTCCTCATCTCTGGCACCTCTGCTGGTACCTGCACTGCCGACCCCAACTGCGATTGCACACCAGCAAACATCGATGGCTGTGATCCGAGCAGATGTGATGGTTTTGGTCTCCGCTGTGGCGATAAATTAAATTGCAAACTTAAAGATCATATCTATCAATGTTCTCCTGAGGGAAACTTTTGTCATATTGGTAATTGCGCAAATGGCTGTTTAGATGGTAGCCCTAACAGTAAATGCGCTTAAAATATTTTGTTATTCTTTTATTATTATGTTTTTTTCATTTGATAGTTATTTTTATTTTGATTAGGTTCTATGTTAATAATTTTATAGTAGTTTACTATTTTTAAAATCAATAAAATAATTGTTTTTGAAACTTTTTTTTTCATCGACTTATGCTTATCACGATTTTGATAATGTAGGATTTGTGATAAATTTTCCACGAGTTTTTTATGTCTTGTTCATAGATGATGCAAACATTACAATATTTCCAATTTTATTCTATGATGCGGTACTCCTAAATTTTGTATGACTTTTGAAAACATATAACTCAAGTATTTTAAAAGTTTAACTCCATAGATTGATAGATTAGCCCTCTAGCTTTAACGTAATGGAAAGATTTTTATTTATTGTAGAGTTCTTATCTTCACAAAGAATTTCGCCGCGAAAATTCAAAATAGTTTGCCTAGTTGGATCAATTAAAATGTGCGCATTTATTATGTAAACAAACCTCCACAAATGGATAAATAAAAACGTGCAAAATAAATTTATTATTATTATATATATTACACAGTAAGTCTCGGTATAGCGGACCTCGGTATAGCGGATGTCTAATAAAACTCTCGGTTTAACGGATCAAAG